GCAGCGACTACGGAGACCACCGCGCCAGAACAACTAAGATGGCGACCCAGAGCTGTCGCGAGACTTAGGGAAACCTCGCGAGGAAGAGACGGGATGAGAGGCCGGCGGGAGGAAGCGGGGAAATCGCGCGGGGAGGGCGAGGGGGGAGGCGCCCGGCGGGCCTTTGCTCAGCGGGCGCGGGTGGCCCCTTCTGTTCCCCGCTCCGGGATGCTCTGGAGGGAAGGTGCAGCCGCATAAAGGGTCCCCGCAGGCCTGCCCCAGAAGAGCGACTAATGGCCTTTTAGACATAATACCATTCTTGGCAAACAAAGAAAGCCAGGGGAAAACAGGTAGCCTGAAAAGTATTCTGTTTTAAAACCTGACCTTTTTTCCCCATCTGTGTAATTCTTATGCATAAATAAATACGCAGAAGCTTCACGTGTCTGCTGAAAAGCGCACTAGTCCATTACCTGGCCTTCATAGCCTGGCATCTCACAGCCACATTTTATTCTATTATTGTATGATATAATTATATGATATAATTACACGCGCGCACCCTCTCCTCATGGGTTCGATGAAATGAGCTCTGGTCCAAATCTAAATCTTTAGATTCTTACATTTCACTAGACCAGTTTGCAAAACTTAATTAACATAACATTAAGGGTTAATCACCGTTGTCTCTAGCTGTCTCTTCTGGGCAATGGCCCAATTTAATGGGAGCAAACTCTGGTACTGTACTTGGGGAGAGTTGACACCAAAATGCATATAAAATCTGGTTATTGGGATTATAACGCAGTAAAATTTTGGCTGTTTTTATTAGAAATGTTGCTGCTCCAGTGAAGTATGCAGAATCAAAGGGGTCCTCAGATTAAGCTGCATGAGATGGCATTGTTAAACATGCTTCTCAAATAGACCATTTGTTATTTTAAAACGTGTTAATTTAAACAAAACTCATTTGTAATTGAGCAGTAAGCTTTTAGGACAAGTGCAGTTGGATATTTTACAAACTTTTGTCCTTTTTATTTAGTGCTTTCACACAAAGAATAATTTTTAAGATTATTTCATTCAGAGCAGATACTTCTGGCCTGACAGTTGTTAAAGCAAATAAAAGTGCACTTCTATGGAGTGGAATATACAGTAAAACTGATATATACACACAAAATGTGACTGGGTTTACAATTTCATCTGGTGATGGACGATGCTAATCTTTTTCTAAGCATAAATCTGCCACAAAATAGTGACCTAGATCCCTAGAAGTCTGTCCCAGAAATGATACAACTTGAGAAGTGCTGATTTATCTGCAAAGTACTTCTTTCCCACCTGGTGTAACATGGTTTCTCCCACCTATTCTCCATTTAAAATACCTCCCTCAACACTTATTTTATACAGTGTTTATGTAATGTTGGTATAATACAAAGTTTATAAAATATTTTTATATACATTATGTTCACAGGCAATATGTTTCACATCTCAGTGCAAAGACCAAAGATTTACAGAACAAGACTATGAATATGTTTTACACAGATCAGAAGGAAACCTTACTGAATCCAGTGGGGCCTACTTCTATGCTAGGGAATAAGTGTAAATGATTGCATAATTAATAAGCCAAAGGTAGTGGTTTTCTTAGAGACATTTCATGGACTTACTCCTCTTATTGAAACATTCTGAATTCAAATTAAGTCCTAGAGAGAAGCACTTGCAAGTAGTTTACACACAAATCACATTGCCAGTCATATACTTACACTTGACCTTAGTTCATAAAGAACTGTGATCACAAATTATTAATAACTGAAAGAAATTATTAATTTAAGAACCTATAAAAGACTTGCTGAAGCAGACCAAGGCCCTAATCACCATTTTTTATCACATGGTGACCACTTCCACTTTTCTTTTTGATACATCTAATATTTAAAAGAAGGTTATTTTTGATCCTGGAGATAGTCTAAAATATTAAAGCTACTAATAATCTCCTCTCTGTATTTATCTTGTATTTAAATCATTCACATATTTCAAGTTATTGGAAAAATCCATTCTAATGCTAATTTTTGCTTACCCTGTAACTAGGTGTAATTGATTGTAAAGAGTTAAATAACTAAATTGTTCCTCGTTTTTAAATGTTTTAATGCCTGTAAGCCACCCAGAGCCATTGAGAATGGGGCGGCATATACTTATTAATATTAATTCTGTTAGGCTTCAGGAAAAAAATGGACCCCTGATAAGTGAAAAAATGCTTCTAGCTGTTTATTAATCATCATCTTGTAGCAGTAATACTATCAGGCTGGGCTACAGATGTATTCTATTGCTTCTACTGTACTGAGATCAACTACCTTCGATTACACCATTCTCATGACATAGGGCATATCCATTCTATTGAATTACCCAAATTATTCCTTCCTTACTTGCTAAATGAATTGTGACTTTAAGAACTAGTGTCTAAGTTGGTTTTTCTATTGCTTTCCTTCCCCTTCCATTTTCTTTTTATGATGTGATTTTAAGTTTGTAGAGAGGTTGGAAGTCTTTTTAGCTGATGAACGGGATAATGAAAAAATTAGTAAAGACAATTATGTTAAGTGGTAATGAATATTCTAATAAAGAATACTAAACAACACTCATCAGAATTATAGAAAGAATTAACTTCCTGATAGTAACACTAAAGGAAGGCAGGCAGAACATTTGTCATTCTATTCATATATTATAAGGTAGCATGCTTTTACCTAAACTAGTACCAATACTCACGATGGATACAGTATCAGATAACTATTACTTCTCAGTGGTGGTGCATGCATACCTCTTTATAAGCTGTGATTTGTGTTTTTTCCAAAATATATAATATGAAGAGTTCTTGGGTTTGTTAGTCTTTGTCTGGTGTATCATTAAATATTTGTTGTTCTTAATTAAAAACAACAGCTCTCTCTGGAGGGACGTATTTAAGGAGAGAACTGTTGGTGGTATTTGATCACTTGCAATTTGGCTCTTGTCTGTTTCCTGTATGCCAACTTCTCTATGGATTTCTAGACACATTTATGAGGCATTATTACTATAATCAATATAATAAACTTGTTAAGTGGAATAAAAAGAATCCTATTGTGTAATATGTGAAACTACTAAAATCATGTGAAGCAAATCCTCAGAGAGTTAAAGGCATACCGGGGATGGAGCTGAACTGAAGATCTCAGGCTGAAATTCTCCATGTTTCTGGAATGCATCAATATCCTTGGCAACAAATAGCTGCTAAACAATTGTTTAGAATATAGTGACAGAGCTTAGAACTTGGTGACATCAGGTTCAAGCTATGGATCTGATGGGGTGGCTGGGGTGTAAAGACTAAGATTTGACACTCTTAGCCAGATATTTTTATGCCCATGAAGCATAGAAATGGACATAGGAACATCAGCATCTGGCATAACATACAGACAGAGTGGATGGCAGGTAAGGCACCTCCCATGACTCCCATCATTGTACAAAGGGGGAAAAGAGATCATACAAAAACTACATGCATTAGAAAAAAATACTACTAAAAATATTTCTTTGTCTGCTGCAGGTTTAAATAGAAATTTGTAATTTTAGTAACAATATAAGCAAATGTAATATTGGTTAAAATTTATTCAACAAAGCTTAATGATTTTGGGGGATTAGAAAACAAATATTTCAGTATTTAAATTTCAAAGTAAAAATGCTTAATTCTGAATTTTGAAGTTGGAAATCTAGATAGAATTAAGGTTATGTTTGAAGTCCAGATACTGGAAAAGGCTCTTCATAGCACTGCTGATATATTAACATGATATTGCTTACTTTCAAATACTAAATGCATATTTGGGTTATTATAATTTAGCAGTTACTCACTCTTCGACAAAATTCCTTTTACTTCAGCACTTCTAGATTGAAAAGATACTTGTTTATAAAGAAAGTAAACTGACTGTCTTGCTTTCCTCTCTCCTAGCATTTTAGCAGGTTACCTTTGGTTCACTTCTGTTTCCTTCTAATGACACAGTAACATTCTTAACTAGGTTCTGAATCTGAAGTATGAATTAGTGAATCAGTGCTAACTTAAGCAAAGACATGCATTAGAAAGATAATTGCACTGATCTGCAGTACAATACTGTTATATACATTTCAGCAGCAAATATTAACTATCTCAACTAATTGAGTCTTAATTTATTTTAAGTATTTGCTTAGAAATACTTAATTGTATTAAGTAATATAAGTATTTACTTAGAAATACTAAATATAATTCAGTACAAGTACATCATGTAATAGAATATTGCAGCAGATCATAATCTTCTATGAGAACAAAAGCCGAGGCTTATTCAAAATCCTGTTTTTTATTTTTATTTTTTTTTAATTTTAATGTATAAGAAAATTACAAAAAATAAACAGAATTACAAAAGGTAAACAAATAGTGAAAACACAGAACTAATAAAATCTAGACAGAGCAAAAGAAAAACATTACTCAACATCTAAATGTATCACATATCATGCATTAAACATTAGGTAGAATCTCTGGTTTACAATATATGCGCGTGTGTATGTGTGTGTGTATTTATATATAAATAATACTTTGTATTATTTAATAGGAAAAAACATATTACTACTCTATTGTGGTAAAATATCATGAAATCTATGCCAGAGAGAAACATATTGCTCCATTTTATTCAGTATCCTGTTTTTGAGAGTGCCCAAATATATAAAAGAGGCCCTAAACATGAAAGCAATCACTTTTGTTTTCCAGTGACTGATACCCATACTGTCCTGATTCACACAACATGCTAAGCCATAATGTAGTTGTTGGCTTGAA